TATATTCTGCTAGAATGGCAAATGATTAGAGTTCCTCATTGAAACTGGCATGAATTGATGACCTGTTCTTTTGAATACTCTAAGTCTTTTGAATACTTTCTTGTGCTTTGAGAGTCAATTTGGTTTTTGAAAATGGCCAAAAAACCATCTGTAGCCAAGTTGGGTGAATGATGTGACCAAGCAAAGTAACACAAGATACTATGTGACTGTAAAATAATTACACTGATTTCTGTGTGTGGTGTGGTTCTGAATACCATTCCAGAAGGGGATGGCCCAAAAGATTTGGATTGATGGCACCCTTGCTGGAATAAGTGTGTAGCAGCCTTCCAAGGTGACTGACTGTGGAGAAGGGGAAACCATAACTTCCAGAGTGGGGGGGGGGTGGGCGGTGTGCAATTGAAGGGTAGTTTGTTTCAGAGCATTTTGAAAATTGACTCCTCTGCTTGACTATTACCTTATTTGTACCACAAATTTATGGAAATACAGACATGACTTGGGTGTCCCCTAAGGCTCTGTCCAGGTCCTCTTTTCTTCTCCCTTTATACTGTCTTCCTTGGTGATCTCATTAGGTCTCATAGGTTCCAATATCAGCTCTTTGTAGATGATTTTCACATCTATTTATCCAGCCCTAACCTCTCTTCACATCACCACCTCATCAACCAGACCTGCATCACCAACAACTTCTTGGATATGGTGAACTCGATGTTCTGTAAACATCTCAAATACAACATGTCTAAAATAGAACCCATTGTCTTTTTCCTCAAACCCGTCATGTTCCAAACTTTCCTATAACCACTGAAGACTCTACCATCCTCTCAAGTCACCCAGGCAATCTATTGACAAGTCCTGTCGTTTCTTTTTCTTTTTTCTTTTTTTGTTTTTTTGGCTAGGCAGTGGGGTTAAGTGACTTGCCCAGGGTCACACAGCTAGTAAGTGTTATGTGTGAGGCCAGATTTGAACTCAGGTCCTCCTGACTCCAGGGCCAGATTCCACTATCCACTGTGCCACCTAGCTGCTCCTGTCATTTCTACCTTTACTCTTTATACTTTATACTCTTGTATACTTCTCCCTTTTTCCATTCAGACAGCCAACAATGTCACGGGCCCTATGTCACCTCATGCCCAGACTATCGCAGTAGCCTTCTGGTTGGTCTCCCTTCCACAAGTCTCTCCCCACTCCAGTTCATCCTCCATTCAACTGCCAAAGAGATCTCCCTCAATTTCAGGTCTGACCCCATCATCGGCTCCATGTTACCTGGCTCTTTCTTATCTTCGTAGTCTTCTTATACTTTGCTCCCTTCCAGCATAATAATGATGATGATAGCTAACATTTATATAGCACTTGCATCAAACAATACTGGCCTTCTTGCTCTTCCTTGCACATGACCCCATGCCTTCTCACTGGTTGTCCCGCATGCTTGGAACGTTCTCCTTCACCCCTGCCTCTTACCTTTCTTGGCCTCCTTTAAGATTCAGCTCATATTCTACCTTCTTTAAGAGTCCTTTTTCATACTTAATCCATGTTTCTCACCCTCCCCCCTCCCCGCCAAACTGCTACCACCACCATGTGCCTTACCCTCTGAGATTACCTTCCATTTTCCCTGTATATAGCTTGTATATACATAGTCGTTTGCATGTTATTCCCCCCCCCCTCCAAATTAGATCATGAGCTCCTTGAGGGCAAGGGATTTTTGCCTTTTTTTTGTATCCTCAGCACTTGGCACGATGCCTGGCACATAGTAAGTACATAATAAATACTTGTTGGCTAACTGAAGCCAAGGTTAATTGAATTTGACAGTTGGTTATGTGGTAACTATTGGTGACTGCTTTATAAAGAGGAGAACTTAATTCTGGCCAGACTTCATGACATGGACTCACTATTTGTATTTTTTTTTAATAGTAGGACATTGGAAGTGACCAGTGCTTATGGGAGTAGCCCATTTTCTTGGCTACACATAATTGATTTTAACATTGAAACACATTTTACAGCCACAGATGGGCCCTGTCACTATTTATATAAATTCAATTACCACATTTATTATATATGTGCACTTGATTATTTCAAGTATAATCTTACAGTAGTTATTGTTTTTTGCAGTTCATTTAGTTTTACATATTTTAAGTAGCAATTATGTATAGCAAACTCTCAATTAGCCTCACCAAGAGAAGGGAACAATTGGACAGATAATCCAAAATTGTTGAAAACCCAAATCATTTTTATTTAGCTTTCCTTGGCTTAGTACAGTGCCTGGCACACAGTAGACACTTAGGAATTGTTTATTGATTGATTTGATTACTTTTGCCTTATGTTTTAGTTAGCTTGCTTTACTGAGGACATCACATGGCAGGTAGGAAGGTTTTCACTCTCACTTCTTCTGTTAAGTTATTTATTGAGTCCAGTTGATTGTACCCTTGCAGCATATCTCCCATCCATCTTCTCCCCTGCTCTCACTGGCTTTGAATTATTGGGATAGCCTCTTTGTTGTTCTCTTGTTTCAGTTTTGTCCGACTCTTTGTGACCCCATTTGGGGTTTTCTTGGCAAAGATATTGGAGTAGTTTGCCATTTCCTTCTCCAGCTCATTTTACAGATGAGGAAACTGAGGCAAACGGGGTGAAGTGACTTGCCCAGGGTCACACAGCTAGTAAGTACCTGAAGCCTGATTTGAACTCAGGAAGATAAGTCTTCCTGACATCCAAACTGACACTCTATCCACTACAGCACCTGCTGGTTTCCCATAGCCTCTTTACATAGACTACTTTTTTCTCCCTTTCAACCCATCCTTCATATGCCAGCCAAATAACCTTTTTGATACATAGATCTGCTCATATGGCTCTTCCCCCCAGATATTCATTGACTGACTCCCTGTCACCTGCCAAATCAAGTTTGAATTTATTTGCCTGACATTCAAGACATATGATAGGTTTCCAGCCTTATCTCAGATCGCTCCCCTACACATACTCTATATTCCAACTGAACTGACTAGCCAACTCCTCCCCACCTCACAGTGCCCTGAGCTCGCCTATGGTTCTCACTTTGCTCATACTCTTCTGTATGACTGGAACATGCCCTTTTCCTCCCCTCTTATTTTGAGCCCCTAGCCATGCTTTAAAATACAACTCGGGCCACTCTTCCATGAAGCTTTTCTTGATGCTGCCAATTGGCAATGACCTTGCACCTTACACATAATGTGATAGGTACTCTGTTTTGCAATTCTCTAGTGTATTAAGCATGTAACATTTTGTATTAGAATTATGTTTTGGGCTCATGTCAGCCTGCTATATTGTAAACTCCATGAAAGTGAGTATGTCTTAACTAAACAGAGTGTCTCCCTTAGTGTCAGCCCAGTATTTTGCCATGGCAAGCACTTCACCATTTGTGGAATGAATGGCTGCTGAGTAGCCTAATGTGATTTGCCTGTTATTATCTTAAAGACAGATCACAGTCCTAGTAGCACAGGCACAGTAATGGTTTTTTTCCCAATGTTTGAATTATCGTACACAGGCACTCTCTCACATCTCTGAGATGCAGTTTTCTTGTCTGTAGATATGATGGTCCAGCCCTGAGTATAATTTATCAGAAAGAATGGCTTTTCCTGGTAGACAGCTCTTTCACCTGCAGAGAAAACTTTGGTTCTGGCCCTGCCTGGCTAAGAAACATCCAGACCAGTTTTGGTTCAGCCTTTGATGGTGTACCCTAGGGCCCCCTAAGGTGGTAAATTGTCCTAGGATTGAGTTATATGGTTGGGGGTGTTCCATAGTGGAACATTTCTATCCTTACCTTTTCTTGACTGTTTCTTTATTTTGCCTTTCTTCATATCCCCAGTGCTTCGCCCCAAAACTGCCTAGCACATGATAGGTGCTCTATAAATTTTAGTTTACTCACTTGCCCACATTCCCTGGGGACAGCTTTTGAGTGCTATTCTCCCCTTCCCCCATTTCCCAGGTGACAATGGTGAGATGCATTGGTAAATTCTATTCAGAATTGGACTATTATCCTATCTAATGGGATTCTGCAGTTTGCATTCAATATCTTTTCTGTAGCTCAGTGGGGACAGTTGAAAGTGGGCTGAGAAATTCGTCCTCAGCAGCCATAATGGGTCAAATGGATCCTCTTCATCCACTCCCCCAACTGTAATTAAAGCTCAGAGTCTCTTTACATTCATGGGAAATGATTGCAGTTCATTTGCAGAAATTTGAAGTGGTCTGAGCTCTCTGAAAGCCCTATGTAAGAGTAAGGTGATGGCATTATCTAAAACCTCTTTATCAGCATCGAGCACCAGAATGTGACAGGTCTTTTTAGAGAAGTGTTCTTCTCTGCAGAAATTTGACACCAAAGAGTTATGCCTCAGATTCATATTTCCCTTCCCACTTCTCTGTATTCATAGTCTTTTTCTATAGTTGAAACTTTCTTGAAGTTAATGAAACTCTGAAAATAGGGATTGTATCATTCCCTAAAAGAGGAGTAAACTTACTTCTACCAATTATAACCATTTGGATAATAATCTTTTTCTGCTTTTTTTTTTTGGTAGAAGGGTGGGAGTGGGGATTTTCAGATATTTTTACCATTTGAGCAAAATTTCATTCCAAGAATACTTGGAAAAAAATACTTGTGTAGGGTTAGTCCAGTGATGATTCTGAAAGGTAAACTGAGGTCATCTCTCACAATACCATGGAGCACATGTCTATGATTTATGCCATATTTTTCTTTTGTTTTTAATAACTTTATTGTGTATAGATTTAAAACAAAACCAGACTGTTTCCTCAGTTGCCCAAATAATTCCACAATGCAATGTTCTGAAAACATTTCTGAATTTCCAGGGGGACCTTGTTACCCCTTCTAAAATGAAGAAGACCCTTTAGATCTGTTGGGGTAAACGAAAAAATCACTTTGGTTGGCATAGGGGATGTGCTCTGGAAATAGACCCATCTCTTTCATGTTGATCTACCTCCCACCCATGTCAATGTCTACCTGACCGAGACTCCATTTGTTGTTTCCACAGATTTCAGGAAACCTTACTGTGCCTTGGATTACAGGGTGTTCTAGAAAAAGAGCAGTAAGTAAATTTTTATATAAAGCAGCAAGCGGGTCATACCTTCCTTATTGTTGTTAGGAATGCCATATAGAACACTGTCCTGGTTTTGTAATGCTGGGAATATAGAACCTCATTAAGACTGTTTTATCTCAGAGGCTATATTTTGAAGTAATATTTACACAATGTTTACAAATACTACCAAGTAAAGGTAACCTTTAAAAAAATACTGCAATCAGCATACCTAAGAAAGTCTTGCAACAGGTTGTTACAGCTGGAAAATCATTCTCATAAACTGTAATTGGTAAGTTTTCCTGGGTCTGATTGGTGCTAGCTAATTTGGCTTAACAATTGAATCTTGATTGGGACCAAAATTAGAAGGAATTTTTAATCTTTGTTGAATAGTTTCTCTTATCACTTTGTGTTTGAATGTTCAGAGGGGCCTAATAAACCCTCATGTTGTGCCCATCTTTTTTTTTTTTTCCTACACTGGTTTTCAGCGATCAGGTTCTAGAAATATTTGCAATCAGTATTGCAGAGATTGGGAATGTCTGATAGGGTGCCTGGCCTTTCTCCCCATCAGTTCTATATAAACCTTGATGCTCTGTTCTCTCCAGCCCTTACTCTGCTCAAATTCCTCCACGTCTAATTACCCTCAGCCTCTTCTTCTCCCAACAATCCCTGTTCCCTGAATGATCTGACTTAACTAACATCCCTGTCTCTGCCTCTCTTTATTCTGACCTTGTCTACTAACCACTTCATTCCCTCTCTATGCTTCTAGCTGGCATCTTTCTAAGACCTGGCTACTCAGTTCCAATTTGCACTGAGCTTTGAGTCTTGAAGATGAGAGCTCCAGAGAAACTGCTAACTTGCGTGCCCACAGCTCTCCAGTTTTTCATGAAAGCACTGTAAAGCCATTGCCCCCTCTCCCCCACCCCAATGCATCTTGAAGAACATATCAAGCTTTATTAAGAATGTAGTATTATGTGTTGTATTTGCATATAATTTCTGTACATAAGCACCATCCCAAAAGAAGTCTTTGTTAAATAGATGGACTGCTAAATGGACAGTGACTTGTGTGCACATCTGGCAATGAAGATTTCTTATTTAATCAAATTTGTTCCACCCGTATCATCAAAGCAGCTTGAGAATGTTGGCTGGGGCATGGAAACAGGCTCATTATAGCAGATTGAGCTTTCGTGGGCTAGCCATTCAAACTGGCTTCTACCTGGCTGGTTTGGGCAAAAGATGGCAGGGGCTTTGGGTGTCCTTGGTATGTTTACCTGGACTGTTTCTCATCAAGCTGTAGCCTTTCAGTACTAGCAGAGGAAGAGAACTGGGTTTCCTGTTTCCTCAGGCTGGTTGTCTTTTGTATTTGTATCCCTAAACTTTTTTTGTGAGTGTTCAATTATTGTTTATCTAATTCAGTTGATGGAACAGCATTCAAATGAGTTGAATGGGGGGAGGAGAGCTGGAAAATTCGGGAAGTTCTGAGAGCAAGGTCCATGTACATGGCAGTGGCTTGTGGCTTCGAGATTTATTGTCTTGGGAAGGCCCACAGGCTCCACCAAGAAAGCTCAAACTACTCAGTGGGAACCCTACTTCGGAAAGTCAGCAATTGGCTAACCTTGCCAGATCAACTCCTTCTCTCTGTTTGTTAAGACATCCGATTTGGAAAGCCAACCAAATTTATTTCTCCTTTGTTTGAATCCTCCTTAATTTCCTCTTGCTCTCCTTTGCATATACCAACTTCTTAGAGCCCTTAAAATGATATTTTGTATTATTTAAATCTTGAGAGAACTTTTCTGTTGAAAGTAAAGCTTTCCCAATTTAAAGGAGCGTGTGACAAACTACTGTCTGAGTTCCATCACAACATATCTCCAGTTCCGATAATAAGAGGCTTAAGTCATCTTAGGGTGTCTAAGAATCCCAGTAGAGAGGTACAAACCACTGTTGGGAATGTTAAACAGTTTTCAAACAAAGAAAATATAAGGAGTTATGTTCAAGGAAAGAGTGTGTGTGTGGGGGGGTATGTTAGTAGATCATTAAGCTAACCCTTTGAACCTCTAGTTTACTTTCCTTTTAAAAATAATTATAAAAATACTTTTGGGAAATAAGCTGTTAAATACCTTTAAAATTCTGTTGGAGTGTTTATTCTTTCTTAGTTTCATTTGCACTCAATGTTATGGGCATTAGTACAATTTGGCAAATACAGGAAGGAAGCCATGCTGAGTTGGGACTATAAATCTCCAGGCTGCAATAATACTGTAAATCTCCTATGAAAATATGAGGATGTAAGAAAGGATTATTTAGGAGCCCTCTGTTCACTCTACTTGATATTAATTTGGGGGTAATTATTAAATTACATGTAAAATTGAAATTGTATTAGTTTGAAAAGCAAAGCCAAAACTAGAAGCAGTTTGCTGGGATGGGTAAGGTGTTGGACTTGGAGTCAGGAATACAAGGGTTTGCATCTCCTTTCTACCACCCAGCAACACAATTCCCCCTTCTGAGCCTCAGTTTCCTCATTTGTCACAATGTGGTATTAGATGTAGTGTCCAACTCACAGGGACTTGTGAGGTTCAAATGAGCTTACAGATTTAAAATGCTGTGCAAACTAAAAAAATAGTAGAGAAATGTCCATCTCTGTGGTTGTTACCTTGAAATGAACCTGCTTCTTGCTTGGCCAGACAAGGATAAACCATTGACCAGGCCATTTTGGTGGGTATAAGGAGAACAACATTTACCACCACCAAGTTTGATATTTGTTACTCTTAGAATCACCCTCTGCAGCAGGTTGGCACTGTCTTAATAGTGCATACTTATGTACTGTACTTATATACTATATGAATAATCTGAAATTGGTTTCAAAGTGAGTTGCATGGGCAAAGAAAACAGAAGCCTATATTTATAGGTGCAGCTTGGACATGGGACTTTAGCTGCATGCCCATTTTTTTTTTCTCTACTTGAGGTAAGAAATTTATTAGGTATTACAGTTTGGTGATTGTTTTTCAAAGCTCATCTCTTTCAATAATATCTCAACAGACTGTCTTGGAAACAGAAGAAAATGGACATTTGAGATATTTAACTTGTAAAATCAATTAATCTTCTTTTGATTCATTTTTTTAATATGAAGAATACATGGTTCTCCATCTACAGTTGCAAATAAAAGATCTGTCGAAGGTCAGAGTACATTCAGTTCTAGCCAATGTGGTCATAAGATTGAGCAGCACAGATAGTGAAGAGCTGCCCATGAGATGATATTTTTCCTTTACAAAAAGAAATGTGCTGTAGGTATACTTGAACTTTGCTTCAAGATTATTACTTTTAGTAAAGTACTTTCTTCCTGCTCACATTAGTTTTTGTGGGTAAGAAAAAAAGGCAGAATCCATTTTAAGATGTGCTTTTTAAAAAAAAATTGGGAAAATAATTATTCAAAAAAGGTAGCTGGTCCAGTTTACAAGAATTTTGCTTATTTACCCTGGATAAATTTTTTATTTATCTCTGATGGAACCTTTGGGATTTGGGAGAAGGAACAGAGAGAAGAGACTAGGTGTATACATTCCCATCTCAAAAATCTGGTTGGCCTGATTCAGTTGAGTCTTTCTTGACTTGGGAATTGAGTTGTTCTGGAATACTGCAATGCATTACATTCAGTAGATTCATTCATTACATTCTTTGACAAGAAAAGATGTTTTTGATCTGAAGCCAAAAGGAGGTAGCATATAGGAGATTGCAGGTCAGGAAACATGGGTTCTAGACCCAGCTTGTCACCTTCTGGTTGGCTTCAAGCTAGTCACATAACATTGGCAAAAGGAGAGAGATGGCCTTGTTGAATTCCAAGGTCCATTGCAGCTCTGATGTTCCACGATCTCATAACTCTCAGTGCTTCACAAACTCTTTTGTTTTTCTTTTTAGAATGATTTTTGCAGCAAACAATATTGGAAAGTTGTACAGATGATTTTGCATCTTCTTCACCTCTGTCTTAGACTAGGTAGGAAAACTCAATTCAAATGACTAGCAGTAGACCAAAGGTTCCCTATAACAAAGCTATTTCCCACAGAATGGCCCATAGTATGTGGATCTGTGGATATTTGGCTCTTCTCAGAAGCACTTTTGAATAACTTCCTTCCTTCCTTCAATTCTCTAGTGCCAAACAAGCAGCTTCAGGGCCCAGAACAGAATTATTGGCCCAATAGAGATACAGCCCTAGTGCATGCTAACTATTCTTTATGTGATGACATCAGCAACAAAATAGCAAATATGGTTAGATGAGATTGATTTTTGAAATGTTTGTGGAAGAGAATGTGAGATGAATAGACTTCATTCAGTACTTTGAAGAATATGAAATGAGTACAAACTGTCTCTAAAAGACTTTGTTTTTAAATTTCTCTGCTTTCCTGGTGTTATGTTACTTTTCTCACACTTACCAGTAGTCGAAAGATGAGTTGAGGACCACATGACCTGGACTCTTTCCTTAGCACCATGTTTTTCAATATTCTTCTCAGTGACTTGGAGAAGGGCATAGATAGATGACTTATCAAATTTGTGAATGACTTGAAACCAGAAGGAATGGCCAACCTAGGTCAGATAATAGAATCGAGATCAAGCTAAAATGAATCTAATTCGATGACATTTGATAGAGATTAATGTAAAGTCCTACACTGGATAGCTGATTTTTAAAATCCAAGCCAAGATAGAGGAGGAATAGCTAAATGACAGTACCTATGGAAAAAGTCCTGGAATTTAGTGAACAAAAGCAGCTCAATACAAGTCATTAATGTGACATGGCAGCCAAAAAAGAAGCTGCCGTGATCTTGGGCTGCATTAAGAGAGAGGCCTAGTGTGCAGAGGCTAGGAAGGGATGGTGGTTTCACCCCTTTCTACTCAGACTAGACCATTGTCTGGAGTGTTGCGTTCAGTTCTGGGCATCGTGTTTTAGGGAGGAGGGGCCAAGACAGGCTAGAGCGTGTACATAAGACAATAACCAGCAACAACAGCGGGATCATTGGAAAGCAGTGGAA